GACTTTTATTTGGGATATGATTAATTTGGGACTCCAGGGTACTGTTTTTCAATATGATGTTTCAGAGCCATGTTAAAAAAAGTTGGGGGGGGGGGCTAGAGATAATAACTGAGAGCCTTTTACAAAGACCTGATGGTTGATTTTATTTCCACCATCTTCTTCTTCCACTGTTATTGGCTGAGGTTTACTCTGGCTCCCTTGGATAAAGAAGGTGTTTGCTCCATGGTCTTCAGGCTCGCAGATTTAACCTATCCAAAGCATCAAATGTGCAATGTCCAAAATATTTTTCAACGCAAAATCATTTTACTTCACTACACATCTTTACTCCACAACATAAATTGCCTCTTTGATATTTGCTTGATTAGAAACAACATTGAAATGTATTTAAATACTCTGATACTTTATATTTCTCCAAATGCATTTCTTGCAGTGCTCCCTGCTTCACACAACTACATCCTGAGTTCTGCCCATCTTGAAATGGGCTAAGTCAAATATTTCTTTTGATTTTTAAAAAATTTTATTTTAGGTTCCAGGATACATGGGTAGAACATGCAGGTTTGTTACATAGGTAAATGTGTGCCATGGTGGTTTGCTGCACCTATCAAACTGTCACCTAGATATTAAGCCTCACATGCATTAAGTATTAGTCCTGATGCTCTATGTCCCCTCAACCCCCTTAACAGGCCCCAGGGTGTGTTGTCCCCTAACCCCTGTGTCCATGTGTTCCAACTGTTCAGCTCCCACCTATGAGTGAGAACATGTGATGTTTTGTTTTCAGTTCCTGGTTTAGTTTGCTAAGAATGAATTATTAGCATTATGAATTTATGCTAAAGAATAATTGCTAAAAATAATTCATTATGATTTTAGTTTGCTAAGAATAAGAATCATTCATTCTTAGCAAACTAAAACAGCTTTGTTCATGTCCCTGCAAGGGACATGATCTCCTCCTCTTTTATGACTGCATAGTTTTCCATGTTGTATATGTGTCACATTTTCTTTATGAGATGGTATCTCATTGTGGTTTTGATGTGCATTTCTCTAATGATCAGTGATGTTGAACTTTTTTAATAGATATGTTGGACACATATATGTCTTCTTTGAGAAGTGTCTGTTCATGTCCTTTGCCTACTTTTTGATGGGGTTGTTTTTTTCTTATAAATTTGTTTAAGTTCCTTATAAATTCTGGATATTAGAGCTTTGTCAGATGGGTAGATTCCAAAATTTTTCTCCCATTCTATAGGTTGCCTGTCTGCTCTGATGATAGTTTATTTTGCTGTGCAGAAGCCCTTTAGTTTAATTACACTCTATTTTTCGATTTTAGCTCTTATTGCAATTGCTTTTGGTGATTTTATCATAAAATCTTTGCCCATGCCTATTTCCTGAATGGTATTGCCTAGATTTTCTTCTAGGGTTTTTATGATTTGGAATTTTACATTTAAGTCTTTAATCCATCTTGAGCTAATTTTTGTATAAGGTGTAAGACAAAGGTCCAGTTTCAGTTTTCTACATATGGCTAACCAGTTTTCCCAGCACCATTTACTAAATAGGGTATCCTTTCCCCGTTGCTTGTTTTTGTCAGGTTTGTCAAAGATCAGGTGGTTGTAGATGTCAGGTCTTATTTCTGAGATCTCCATTCTGTTCTATTGGTCTGTGTGTCTGTTTTGGTACCAGTACCATGATATTCTGGTTCCTGTAGCCTTGGAGTAAAGTTTGACGTCGGGTAGTATGATGCCTCCAGCTTTGTTCTATTTGCTTAGGGTTGACTTGGCTATATGGGCTTTTTTTTTTTGGTTCCATAGGAATTTCAAAGTAGTTTTTTCTAATTCTGTGAAAAATGTCAATGGTAGTTTGATGGGAATAGCATTGAATGGCATACATTGAGCAGTATAGCCATTTTCATGCTATTGATTCTTCCCATCCATTAACATGGAATATTTTTCCATTTGTTAGCATCTTCTCTTATTTCCTTGAGTAGTGGTTTGCATTTCTCCTTGCAGGGGTCCTTCACATCCTTTGTTAGCTGTATTCCTAGGTATTTTATTCTTTGTAGCAACTGTAAATGGAAGTTCATTCATGAGTTGGCTCTCTGCTTGTCTATTGTTGGTGTATAGGAATGCTTGTAATTTTTGGACATTTATTTTGTATCCTGAGACGTTGTTGAAATTGCTTATCAGCTTAAAGAGCTTTTGGACTGAGACAATGGGGTTTTCTAGGCATAGGATTATTTCATCTGCAAACAGAGAAAATTTGACTACCTCTCTTCGTATTTGAATACACTTTGTTTCTTTCTCTTGCCTGAATGCCCTGACCATAACTTCTAATACTATGTTGAATAGGAGTGGTGAGAGAGGACATCTACTGAACTCTCCAGTACAAAATAACAGAATATACATTTTTCTCAGTGCTACATAGCACCCAGATAGCACTTACTCTAAAGTAGATTACATAATCGGTAATAAAGCACTCCTCAACAAATGCAAAAGAGCTGAAATCATATCAAACAGTCTCTCAGACCAAAGCATAATCAAATTAGAACTCAAGACCAAGAAACTCACTCAAAACCACACAACTACATAGAAATTGAACAACCTGCTCCCGTATGACTCCTGGGTAAATAATTAAATTAAGACAGAAATCAAGGAGTTCTTTGAAACCAATGAGAACAAAGATGTAGCAAAAAATGTAGCAACAAAAATGTAGCAAAATCTCTGGGATGCAGCTAAAGCAGTGTTAAGAGGAAAACTTATAGCACTAAATGCCCACATCAGAAAGTAAGAAAGATCTCAAATTGACACCCTAACACCACAACTAAAAGAACTAGAGAAGCATATGCAAACAAATCCAAAGGCTAGCAGAAGACAAGAAATAACTAAGATCAGAGTGGAACTAAAAGAGATAGACACACAAAAAAAATCATTGAAAAAAATCGATGAATCCAAGAGTTGGTTTTTTGAAAAAAATAAAATAAAATAGACTGCTGGCTAGATTAATAAAGAAGAAAAGAAAGAATAATCAGATAGACACAATAAAAAATGATAAAGGGGATATTGCCACTGACCCCATAGAAATACAAACTACCATCTGAGAATGCTATTAACACTCTACGCAGAAAACTAGAAAATCTAGAAAAAATTGATAAATTCATGGACACATACACACTCCTAAGACTAAATCAGGAAGAAATTGAATCCTTGAATAGATCAGTAACAAGTTCTGAAATTAAGGGAGTACTAAATGGCCTACCAACCAAAAAAAGCCCAGGACCAGATGGATTCACAACCTAATTCTACCAGAGGTACAAAGAGGAGCTGGTACCATTCTTCTGAAACTATTCCAAACAATTGAAAAAGGGGGACTTCTTTCTAACTCATTTATGAGGCCAGCATCACCCTGATACTAAAACCTGTCAGAGACACAATGAAAAGAGAACACTTCAGACTAATATCCCTGGTGAATATCGAGGTAAAAATTCTCAGTAAAATAGTAGCAAACCGAATCCAGCAGCACATCAAAAATATTATCCACCACGATCAAGTTGGCTTCATTCCTGGTTCAACATACACTAAGCAATAAACATAATTCATCACATAAACAACCAGTGACGACAACCACATGATTAACTCAATAGACGTAGAAAAGGCCTTAGATAAAATTGAACATCCCTTCATGTTAAAAACTCAATAGCCAGGCACGGTGGCTCATTCCTGTAATCCCAGCACTCTGGGAGGCTGAGGTGGGCGGATCACCTGAGGTCAGGATCAGACCATCCTGACCAACATGGTGAAACCCCATCTCTACTAAAATACAAAAACTAGCCCGGTGTAGTGGTGGGTGCCTGTAATCTCAGCTACTTGGGAGGCTGAGATGGGAAAATTGCTTGAAACCAGGAGGCAGAGATTGCAGTGAGCCAAGATCACGCCATTGCACTCCAGCCTGGCAACAAAGCAAGACTCTGTCTCAAAAACAAACCAAACCAAAACAAAAAAACTCCCAATAAACTAGGTATTGATGGAACATATATCAAATTAATATAGGAACTATTTATGACAAACTCATAGCCAATATCATACTGAATGAGCAAAACCTGGAAGCATTTCCCCTGAAAACTGGCACAAAATGAGCCACATACTTCATACAGTTGAGCCTTTCCTTGCTGTGGTAGAACATGCCCTGTAAGTCGCCAAAGTAGCACATTGCAGTGAAGCTTTTAAAGACCATGGAAGGGTTTTCTTTTGTCGCTAAATGTTTATCTGATTTTATTTATAACACTTTATTGTAAAAAGAAAAAATCAGTTTTTTCAAAAATACAAAGGTTTTTGAATGTCCTCACTACAAAAAATAAATGGTAAGTGCATGAGGTGATGGTCACACTAAATACCCTGATTTGATCATTATTTAAAATATATGTTTTGAAATGTCAAAATGTGCCCCCATAGATATGTAAAACTTTAATGTATCAACTTAATAAAATTAAAAATAGAAACAAAACAAGCAAATAAACAAACAAAAAATGCAGCTTCTTTTCCACACAGAATTGGACGAAAAAATTATTCTCAGAAGATAAGTGCACAATTTATTCTTCCTTAGAAAAATAATGGGTGTTTTGATTAAGACAAGACAAGACAAGACTTCAAGACTTGGTCTGAGATGGAAAAGTTAAAACACAGAGTACTATACCCTTCTCTGAATTAAAGTGTGCAGGTACCCCAAGGAGTAATGCCATTGATCTCATATCATCCTTCACTGGGCTGCAGGTAGGATAGTAGGTAAAAAAAAAAATGAGAACGGGAATTCCATTGTTGATGAGACTACTAACCTGGAGAAATATTAGGACAGAAGGAGAAAAAAATTCTGTAAGGAATTTTCTTTTATGAGGTATGATCCTAAAATTTAGCAATAGGGGCATACAATGATTTTTCTCCTAGGTTTTCCATTGACTGTACTTGTGGGTAAGTTGGGAAGCTCTTATACACTTCAGCATTCTTGTCTGTAAAGTAAATGTCCAAATGTACTCCATGTATACTCTGTGAAAGTTGGATGAGGAAATAATTGTAAAAGCAATGGACTAATTCACATGATTTACCATGACTAAAGCAAGGTAACTGAAGGTTGGTGAGAAGGCCTTATGCATACATATAAACTGACCAGTAGAGTATGTCACAGTATGTATTTGAAAACTGAATTGATAAATAAGCTTGTACCTTTTCTGGAATTCTCAGACAAGGCAAATTATCCAGAATGGTGTGGGAAAACCAGACCTTTAACTCCATCTTCATCCTGCTGGGAATCTTCAGTCACAGCCCCACCCACACCTTCCTTTTTTCTCTGGTCCTGGGCATCTTCTCAGTGGCCTTCATGGAAAATATTGCCATGGTTCTCCTCATCTACGTAGACAAACAGCTCCACACCCCCATGTACTTCCTCCTCAGTCAACTGTCCCTCATGGACCTCATGCTCATCTGTACCACTCTACCCAAGATGGCCTTCAGCTACTTGTCTGGGAAGAAATCTATCTCTCTGCCAGGTTGTGGAACTCAGATATTTTTTTATGTGTCCCTGCTTGGAGCTGAATGTTTCTTGTTGGCTGTCATGGCTTACGACCGCTATGTGGCTATATGTCATCCTCTTCGGTACACCATCCTCATGAATCCCAAACTCTGTGTCTTCATGACTGTTGCTTCCTGGACCTTGGGGTCTCTTGATGGGATTATAGTGCTTGCAGCTGTCCTGTCATTTTCTTACTGTGGCTCTCTGGAAATTCATCACTTTTTCTGTGATGTTGCTGCCCTTTTACCTCTATCCTGCACAGAAACATCTGCATTTGAAAGACTGCTTTTCATTTGTTGTGTGGTAATGCTAATCCTTCCAGTTTCAGTTATCATACTTTCCTATTCCCGTGTCCTTCGAACCGTCATCCACATGGGCTCTGGGGAAAGTCGCCGCAAGGCCTTCACTACCTGCTCCTCCCACCTGTCTGTGGTCGGACTCTACTACGGTGCTGCTATGTTCATGTACATGAGACCAGCTTCTAAACATACACCAGAGCAGGACAAGATGGTGTCGGCATTCTACACTATTCTCACCCCTATGCTGAACCCTCTCATTTACAGCCTCCGCAACAAAGAAGTGTTCAGGGCACTACAGAAGGTACTGAAGAAAAGGAAGTTAATATGACTTTATCAAAATCTTTTTGAATGCCTTCTGTGGTCAACACTCATTCAAAAAAAAAATGGAATCTCTTACATTATTCTATTTCTGGTAATTTGTATTAATATTTTTCCACTTTTCAAAATTATTTAGTATATTATTACATATACATCATTTGTAAACTAAGCTAGATTTGGACGTTAGTATAAGTGGCTTAATCCCTGTGAATGATAATTATATTATTAGGTGTTATCCATGGGTGGTACTTGATTTTAGGATGCTTGCTTTTGAAGCCAGGTATTAGTCTGAAGTGTCTTACCTGTATCAAAAAGCAAAGGTTGGAGTTGATCCTCCTTTTTTGGAGAGATGCTTCTTCGTTCACACGTTACTTACCTATTAGTACTTGTTTTTAGTTTTACCAATCCTCAAACCCAAGAATGACTATTTTAATACTGTTTCTTCTCTACTTGATTCCCAAGTATTTAAAAGTGGGGAGTTAGTGTCAACACTTTCTTCAATCAAGTTTTATGTCCATTTAAAATATTTTCTAGAAACTCACATATACGTACACACACTTAAATCACTTAAATATATATGTGTATGATCTTTATACTAATAAAATTAAATATTTTAATGAGCCCACATAACATATCTACTTGGTTGGGCTGCACAGTCAACATCTGTATCATGTCTGCTTTTATTCCTTATAATCCTTATATTAACATCAGAATCTGAAGGCAGAGCAAGGTAGTGGAATGGAAGGCTCCACTGATCGTTCACATACAACGACAGCAATTTAACAATAATCTACACACAAACAACACATTCATGAGAACCAAAAATCACGTGAGCCCTTGTAGTCTCTGATTTTAACTTTATATCACTGATGAAGAGGCACTGAAGAGGTAGAAAAAAACAACTGTAACAGACAATGCCTCCCCTCCCTCACCACTGACAGCAGCAACAGGGTGCTAAGAGTGTCTCTGGGCTCTGGTGAGGAAGAACACAACAATTGTGAGGGCTTGAGCTCAGTGCTGTCCTGTAAGAGCAGAAAGGAAAACCAGGTAAAGTTCAGATGATGCCTGGCCACAGACAGAGCATTTAAACCAGCCCTTGTCAGAGGGGAATTACTGATCCCGGTGGTCAAAACCTGTGTTCCCACAGACCTTGACACTGAAGGCTAAAATGCGCTGAGGCTCTAAGTAAACTTAAAAGATAGTCTATGCTATAAGTACTACAACTCTTAGGTGAGTCCTAGTGCTGAACTGGTTCCACAGATAGTGGACTGTGCAGGGGGCACATGAACTACTGAGACACCAGCTGGGACAACTAAGGTTGTGCTGGCATCACCCTTGCCTAACCTCAGGCTGCACAGCTCATGGCTCCAAAAGAGTTCTTCCACTTGAGAAGAGAAGAGGAAAGAGTGGAGAGGACTTTGTCTTGCATTTCGGATACCAGTTTAGCCACAGCAAGATAATGCACTGGTCAAAGCTGTGAGGCCCTTATTCCAGGATCTCCCTCCCAGACAACATTTCTCTGTACACCCTGGGCAAGAAAGGAACCCATTTCCTTGGAGAAAAGGCACCAGTACTGCTAGCATGCATTGCCTAACTGAAGAGCCCTGGGCCCTAAATAACCAGCAGTGATATCCAGGTATTATAGCGAGGGCCGTGGGAAAGACTCTGCTGGCTTCAAGTGAGACTCAGCTCATTTCCAGCTGTAGTGGCTACAGGGCAAAACTCTGTCTGCTTGAGAAAAATAAAGAAAAGGGGACTTTCTTTTGTACTGTAGGTACCAGCTCAGCCACAGGGGGCGGGGTGGGTGGTGGTGGGGAGAGGGGGGGTGCATGTAGTTCACCAGGCAGGTCCTTCAGGTTTCTGATTGAGGGAATTACTCTTTCATGGCATTTCTGGACCCACCCTGGGCCAGAGGGGAGCCCACTGCCCTGAAGGATTAAACAGTGTTCACTGCAAGCTGACTGAAGAGCCCTTGGGTCCTAAGGGAATATCAGCAGTAACCTGGAAGTACCTCCCAAGGGCCTGTGGTGGTGGCCATGAGATGAGGTTCTTCTTCATGTGGAAAGGGAAGGAGAAAGTGGAAAAAAAACTGCTTCTTGTGGTTTGAATGCCAACTTAGCTGCAGTACAATGGAATACCAGGTAGACTTCTAAGGTTTCTGACTCTAGTCCCTGTCTCCAAGATGGCACTCTTGACACAACTTGGGGCCAGTGTGAACTTGTAACCTTGAAGGGAAGGACACAAGTCTGACAGGCATAGCCAGATATTGATGGTAGAGCTCCAGGGCTTGAGAAAACACAGGCAGTAGCCAGGTGGTTACACCAGGCCTTAGGTTAGACCCAGGGCTGTGTTCAATTCAGGGCTGACCCACAGTCTCAGTAGTGGTGGTCATCTGGGTGCTTATATCTCTCCACCCTCAGCTCCAGGTGGCTCAGGACAGACAGAGACTCCATTTTGGGAGGAGAAAGTAAGGGAAGAGAACAGAATCTCTGCCTGATAATTCAGAGAATTCTTCCAGATCTTCTCCAAAAGCATCAAGGCAGCACCTCTATAAGTCTACTAAAACCACAGCTTTACTGGGCTTGAGGTGCCCCCTAAAGCAGATACAACTTAGATCAAAACAACCAGGCGATTAGGAATGTCTGGAAAGCCTTCCCAACAAGTATGGGTACCAACAAGCCCTGACTGCAAAGATCACAATAAATACTTACTCTTAAATGCCCAGACACAGGTGAGTGTCTACAAGTATTGAGACCATCCAGGAAAACTTGACCTCACCAAATGAACTAAATATGGAACCAGTGATGAATCCTGCAGAAACAGATATGTGACCTTTCAGATATATAATTCAAAATAGTTGTGTTGAGGAAAGTCAAATAAGTGCAAGATAAAACAGAGAAGGAATTAATAACTCTATCAGATAAATTTAACAAAGAGATTGAAATAATTACAAAGAATCAAGTAGAAATTCTGGAGCTGAAAAATGCAATTAGCATAGTGAAGAATGTATCCGAGTCTTTTAATAGCAGAATTAATCATGTAGAAGAAAGAATTAGTGAGCTTGAAGACAGACTATTTGAAAATACATAGCAAGCGGAGACAAAAGAAAAAAGAATGAAAAACAGTGGAGTATGCCTGCAGGATACTTAAAATAGCCTCAAAGGGCAAATCTAAGAATTATTGGCCTTAAAAAGGAGAGGTAGAGAAAGAGAGGTAGAAAGTTTAGTCAAACGAATAACAATAGGGAACTTCCCAAACCTGGAGAAAGATATCAATATCCAAGTACATAAAGTATAGTATACCAAGCAGATTTAACCTACAGAATACTACTTTAAGGCATTTAAAGGTTAAATTCCGAAAGGTCAGGGATCAACAAAGGATCCAAAATGCAGCAAGAGAAAAGAAACAAGTAACATAAAATCCACCTCCAACACACCTAGTAGCAGACATTTCAGTGGAAACCTTAGAGGCCAGGTGAGAGTGACATGACATATTTAAAATGCTGAAGGAAATGACTTTTGCCCTACAATAGTATACTGGCTAAAATATCCTTCAAACATGTAGGAGAAATAAAGACTTTCCCAGACAAACAAAAATTGAGGAGTTTCATGAATACCAGATGTGTCCTACAAAAAATTGCTAAAGGGGGTACTTCAATCATAAAAAAAAAAAAATTAATGAGCACTAAGAAATCATCTGAAGGTTTAACACTTACTGGCAATAATAAATACACAGAAAAACGTAGAATATCTTAATACTGTTAACTGTGGTATAAAATCTACTCTTAAGTAGAAAACTAAATGATGAAACAATCACAACTAATAACTACAAAAACTTTTCAATACAGACTGCATAATAACATATAAATAGAAAAAACTGGAAGTTAAAAAGTAGGGGGAATGAAGTTAAGGCATAGAGTTTTTATTAGCTTTCTTTTTTTTTTTTAAATGCAAACAGTGTTAGGTTGTTATCAGCTTAAAGTAAAGGGTTATTAGATAGTATTTAGAAACCTCATAGCAACCTCAAACCAAAAAACATACAATATATACACACAAAAAAAGAAAATGAGAAATAAAATATCACAAGAGAAAATTATCTTTACTAATAGGAAACAGGAAAGAAAGAACGAAGGAAGAGAAGACCTCAAAACAACCCCCCAAAAATGGCAGGAGTAAGTCTTTACTTATCAATAATAGCATTGAATATAGATTAAACTCTCCAATCAAAAGACATAGACTGGCTGAATGTATGAATGAAAACAAGACCCACTGATCTGTTACCTACAAGAAACACACCTCACCTATAAAGATGCACATAGACTTCAAATAAATAGAGAAAAATATTCCATGCCAATGGAAACCAATAAAGTGTGCGGGAGATATCCTTATGTCAGACAAAATAGATTTCAAGATAAAACTATAAGAAAAGACAAAGAAGATCACCATATTAAAAAGAAGATCATTATATTATGACAAAGAGGTCAATTCAGCAAAAGGCTGTAACAATTTTAAATATATATGAACCCAACACTGGAGCATTAAGATAAATAAACTAAATATTATTAGGGCTAAAGAGACAAATAGATTCCAATGTAGTAACACCTGAAGACTTCAACAGCCTGCTTTCAACATTGAACAAATCTTCCAGGCAGAAAATCAACAAAGAAATATCGGACTTAGCCTGTGCTATAGAACAAATGGACCTAAGAGGTATTTATAGGGCATTTCCTCCAACAGCTGGTGAATACACATTCTTTTCCCTAGCACATGAATTACTGTCAAGGATAGACCATATGATAGGTCACAAAAAAAGTCATAAAATATTCAAAAGATTGAAATAATATCAAGAATTTTTGACTACAATGAAATAAAACTAGAAATCAATAACAAGAGGAATTTTGGAAATGACAAATCCATAGAAATTAAACAATATGGTCCTGAGTGACAAGTGGTTCAATGAAGAAATTAAAAAGAAAATTGAACAATTTATTGAAACAAATGATAATGAGAA